ACAAACTAGAAAACATCGCCCTCTCCTAGCACCTAATGATAAGCCCTTACAACATATATGTATTCCATTCACAGTTTATTTCTATAGCTTTCATACATTCGTCACATCCTTTACACACTTCACCCTTCATCTCTTTGCATATATATAGCGCGCGCGGAATATTTTCTCATCCCTGATGTTGCCCTTGATCGGCAAAAGCTCGAATTTTAGATTTTACTTTTTAAACAGCAGTCAGTAAGGCCTCACTAGAACAGTTTTATATTTCTGGTTTGAAGGTTTATATGTCTGTTCGTAAAATAAACAGATTGAAGCAGGGACTACGTTGGCTACCTTCCTTTTGTTAGCGTCCAGCGAGGATACGACAAAATTTTTTTTCCCTAAAGTGGTTAGGTATACAGATATTTGTCCATCCGTTTTTTTGTGTGTATAATCTGCTATTTATATCTTCTTGTATTGTTTTGGGCGGTTATTTTACATGTAATTGTGTTCACTTAATTTGGTGCAGATCCCTCCGTTTGAATTCCCACAAATTTCGTGACTCGACTTATTTAAAGCGTGGACCAACCACTAGTTCAGTGATTCAAGTACTGAGAAACCTCTTTTCCTGATCCTCTGTGAGACTTAGCAAGAAGTTTGCTCTCCACAATAAGCCATTTGCACGATGGCGTCATTTTACTACTACGACCGGAATCCTCTTCGTTTTTCCTCTCATATTTAAATTTGGCAGTCCCAACAAGGTTTAAATACCAAAAGCCCTAATTTGCACAAGAAAGCAAACCCCTGAAGGATTCTGGTCGTAGTAGTAAAATGACGTTATTATGCAAATGGCCCATTAGTGAATAGTCTAGTTTCGAATTAAAAATTACCCGCTGGATACAAATATTAACGACACATTCATACCGGGTTAGCCTAGACGTAAAGTAAAATATTCAGAAATTCCGGCAAGTAAGTGTTCGAAATTTCAGGGGCACCCAACGACAATTTTCGGAAAAATATCTGTTCAGAAGACGATTTGAGATCTAGAATTTTCGGAACATTTGTTGTAAAATTTCTTGCTTGCCTGCTTCTCCTAGGATTTTCGAACATCTAAAATATGGTATAATTGCCTATTTTTAACGGATTTTTACCCTAAAAAGGTCACCTAGAATTTTCGGGAGCCTTTTTTCTGGCTGAAATTTTCGAAAAGGTAAGTTTTGATCCCTATAAATTTCGGATCACTTGACTTTCAGCTAGGAAATCCGAACAGATGAAAAATTTTTAGGGGATAAAAATATGCCTATATCTACCGTTTAAATACCAAAATACGTTTAACAATGCTATGTTTAGTGGTTTTGAACTATTTGAGTATACACAATAGACAGTGTAATAACCAGGTCTTTTTCTCGTTGGAATTTGTGAATATATAGCTTCAGATGGAGGCTAAGCCTGTAAAAAATGCGTTTGTACTTCTTTAATTCAGTGGTCATAGCGAACTCGAAACTGGACTATTTACGCAATAGGAAGACGGCAGAACGTTTGTGCGTGACAAACGTGACAGGGCTATTACTTTTGTGTTTTGTTGTGATCTTCATTTAACATCAATGTTTTCTGGTCTTTTACAAAAAGATCTGTTAAAAGGAAGGTGAAGTTTGGTAGAACGTTTTACAAACATAATTATTGTCCCGCTTGTCACACAAGGTTTGTCACTTTCTTTCCTTCCCGGTGCTGTTGGGTAAAGTTAATTACTGCATCCATTTGACGAACTGTTCCTTTATTAGGAAAAGTCACTAAACTTAGGGCCTGTTTACATGGAGTGGGGGACCCCGGTCTAGTGGGGTTGGTTTCTTTTGTTTTTACGGACACAAAACAAAAGAAACCTACCCCACTAGACCGGGGTCCCCCACTCCATGTAAACAGGGTCTTACTCACGATTAAAATGTTGTCAAATGGTATGAGAAAAGCATGGAACCTTGGTATGCATAAAGATGAGACCAGAAGTAGGTGCGTTTGACGTAAGAACACAGCACAAACTGCAGGGGGAGGGACTTGGTTTCCACCATTTTTAAAGTCTTCTTGAGTTCGCTTTATTATGCGCTTTCCCTTTTCAACACAGTTACGCGTTGCAACATGATCAACTATACCATTTATTTAATGATTTTATCTTGAAGGGAAATGTACAAAGTCTACCAAAGATTCTAAAAATACATTTTATCCATTCATAAATCTTTTACTCACAAGTTATTTTTCTTTTGAATTTTAATGCCAACTGGAGGCCTCTTGTATCTTTTTTAGTTTACAGTATTGTCTTTCCAGCAGCGCGTATAAGTCCTGTTCTTTTTAGCTTCATGAAGATCAAGTACTGCGTCACTGACGGTTGTGCTTGCGTAGTTCGTAAGATGTGTAGTCTTCCCAAGTCATTCGCAACCCCAAAGCTTCTCTCTTTTTTGCTCATGTCTGGGGTCGACGGAGTATCCGGCAACTGCCATACGTTTTGTCATCAGCGAGCAGCATTTGCAGTGTTGCAGTGAGTGAGGAGAAGGGCTTCTGTTGTTAACTTGAGTCCAAAAATGGCTATTTCCCGGCATGCTGTTGACATATTACCACAATTTTTTCTACGTCCAGATTCCATCCAAGTTTTCGTTTTTTGTTCCCGAAAAACAGGGCGAATTACGTCAACAGAAATAGATAAAAAAATGTCTTAGTAGCTGCTTTAAAATGCCAACATCCAAAGATGATTTTGGAACAACTATGGCTGAACTTTGATAATCACATCCAGCTTTCAAGAACACTGTTATATTCCTCAGGCAAAATAAAGGGCTGGTCAATGGTTCTGAAACGAAAGGAAGACATACATCACAAACTTGAGGGCCACAAGTGTATTAGTGTTTTCTCTCTTTTTTTGCACTAGTACGTGTCACTCTCGTTATATAAAGTTTGATTGATTGATTGCGGCCACGAAGTTAACTTTTTTTCTTTTGCTGACCAACCCAGCCAATAATCCTCAAATGTGAGGGGTAGGCTGTACACGGTAAATGTAAATGTCAGTGTAAACTAAACGTTTCTTGACATTAATAATTATGCTACACTGGTACCTACATGTAGGTTCTTATTCAGTGAAAACAAGGTCAGAAAGGGAAGTCTTTTCTCTCGCGTCCTTTAGGATTAAGGAAAAACCTAGCTCGCTATCTAAATGTGTGATTTCTCTTCCCATTTTCGGATGCAACCTTAAACCATAAAGACTAGAAATGGCTGTGCTTTTCAATCTTTCGCTTTCTGGCCCCGCGAAACGAAGAAAAGGAAGAGAAAAGATGTTGCTGTTAAGAGAAAAACTATACATCTTTGATCTCCTAAGTTTTCAGTGTTTTCTTCTAGATGTGTGGACGCATTTATTATGTTCAACAAGCTCACACAAATCCTCTGGCACAGTCGACTGGTGTAACGATGTTAGGATTCCCTTACCTGATCATAATTTCCCCGCAATAAATGCATTCAGATGCTGTTAGGTCATCCAGTTCATTCTAAAAATAGATAACAAACTAAGTTTAGTCAGCGTTATATGTAACTGACCCATCTAATAAGTGCTTAAGACAGGTGTCTGTAAGATAAATTGACTATTCGAACTGCAGTCAACAAAAGACAACTCCGTTAACTCTGTTCTTTGGTCATTTATTTGCTGTCCATCACGCGGACGCCTCCGTCAGACACCCCCACCCATTGACCTTTCGAGGAAGAGAGCTTGGGTTGTTTGGTACCCGAGAGACTTGTTCTCGTTAGCTCATTGAGCCCTCGACAAGATAAGGTGGTATTTCATCGATGATCATTTCGTGCAATAGCAATGTTCTAAATACCTAAATAAATAGTAGCTGTGGCGGAGTCAGATCTTGGTGACCTGTACAGCTGATTAAACAGATCTTCTTGAACCTTTGCTCTGCAAATTCAAGATGCATTTAAGATAAATGGCGGTAAAATGACCAGCATAAAAGGACACATTTACTTGTCATTTTAATAAAGTCCAGCTCATGGAACTAATGATTTTTTTATTAATTAAAAACTTTATTACAAAACCTCAATTAAAATCCTATTTACAATCAACCTGCTGTTACAAAAAATCTAATTAATTCATCAAAACACTATCTACAATTCCATCCGTTACAAAAGAAACCCCTCGGCCTTCATTAGAGAACAAAAACAATCCTATATATAATAAGTGAAGAAAGAAAAAACTGTTCATTTACAAATTCTACAAAATAGAAGTATCTTAACCTTACATAAAAGAAGAGGAAATAGATATAATTAATAATAAAAGTTCAAAATTCTGTAAAATTAAGAATTCCATTATGCAGAGATATTAATATCATACAATCGAATTATACTAATGACGGCTAAACCAGTGTCCATAAAAAAGCCCTAAGTATAAAAGTATATAGACACGTATTTCAGATATCCGCACTAGCGACATTTATTTTACAGTCTAATGATTGCTCTATCTTGCTACGAAACGGCGTTTGCGAGCCTCTGACGCATGCATGTACCGATCTTAAGAGTTCAAACGAGATTTGTGTCCAGAGCCAAGTGATTACAACATGATAAGGCTCGGTGTCTTTCTGAGCTATCTTGTCTGCGAGATGCTTTAAGAACCGCTGACACTCGTTTCCCATTCCGCCATTGGTTTCAAACACTCAAGGCGTAAACGAACCCATTTCTACATCTAACACCCGCCGCTGGTACTTGCGCTTCTTCTCTTCTTCTTGCTCTTTGAACACTTCCGATGTTAGCCTGCTCTGGTAACACTTGGAGTTGACGTGCGTAACTATAACATCAAAAAATGCCGTAACTCCTCTTGCCCAGAAACCTCCCGCTTTGATGTCCAACCTTGCCTCAGAACTTGTAACAGCGCTCCTCAAATGAAATCGCTCGTTGTCCAGGGGTTGAAGGCGTGGTTCGATTTCGAAATTATTGCAGATCTTGTCGATGAATGTCGTTAACAAGTTCCGTACACCGTCATGTCTCTGCGCTACAAACCCCCACTTTTTACAAGAGAGGGCGTGACTAACGGTGAATTTATCCCCACATATGCAATTACTTGGTAAATCGACTAAGGGCAAGTCATAACGCAAGCGTAGCGAGTCTCTGAACTCTTGCTTGTTGAGGGCTAAACCTTTGTCTGCGAGAGGCATCGCATTCAGCCAAGAACTTGCGCCCTTGTCCCTCGATTGATTAACCAGACGCAGCAGGCCTGGGGAGAGGCTTGAATCAATGCTATCCATTTTCTCTTTGGCACTTGCTCTCTTAAGTGATTGTTGATGCCTCTTTAGCTCCTTCGTAGATCTTTCTCCTGGCACCATGATGGAACTCTGTGAAGTAATAGAATCTACGTGCGCGGTGGTTATTAGTCTCGAGGCAGCAAACTGCTGCGGTGCCTCGGATTTCAGATCAGGAATGCCTAGACCACCTTGACCCGTTGCTAAGGTAGCAAGTCTGCGTACCTCGTTAGGGAGAGGCTCTGATTGACCGAACAAAGTTGGGAGTAGTAAATCTTCAATCACTTCCTGGCTTGTAAATAGCCAACTGGTTGCCTTCTGCCAGTTGGGGTTTTTAATCCTGTTATGTTGTATTTGAATTGTTTGTTTCTAAATATTTGAGTGGAGTGCCTGTAAATTAGCTGGACAAGCTAAGTGCAATTTCCACTATAAACAAGCCTTTAACCTTTAACCTTTATTGGATCGACACAAACTTCAAACGATTCAATCGTGCGCATGAAGTAGGTGAACTTCGACTTGTAGCCTTTTGTGAAAGCAATATACGCCGCATGGGGCTGGCTCTTCGCTATTTCAGAAAGACGTTCGATTTCCTCTTTCCATGCACGAACCTTCTCCTCACAATACTGATCGCTTGGTAAGAGCGCTAATGATTTCTGTACTTCGCAGACGGAGAAACAAGAATTTAATTGTAATCTACGAGAAGGCCAGAGATACAGAATCAGTGAAATTCCAGATGCTGGTCTGACCAGCTGACTACTGAGCTGCGAAGGCTGAGCTGGGCCATATAACCGATTCATAAGTGAGACAATTGTTAGAAAGGTGGATAGGACTATCCGCAAGATAAATCACTACCCACTGATTAGCTCAGTTGGTAAGAGCACTGCACCAGTATCGCAGAGGCATTCGAATCCCGTACAAGCCAGAATTTTTTTTCAGGCTTTCTTTTCGCATTTGCAAAAGTTGCGTCCATAACTACGATGATCTACTATTTCATATAAATTCTTCAACCCGCAGTTCACATATATGATTTTAGTATATACATAACTTTATCACCATCCTTTCACGGGTTTATAACGAACCAATTCAACGACAACCAGGGCCAGAAAGGTAGAGAGCAGCATAGAGACAAAACGATAACAGAAAAATTTATACCTTTGCTTCTCTTTAAGATTGGGTAAAATCTGAAAAAAAGAAGGAGGAAAAATAAAAACAAAATTACACACACCATTTTTTCAAAAATAAATTGTAAATATAAACTTTTAAAAATAAACATAAAAATAATCTTAACAGTCGCACCTCATTTTTTAGACAATCGCAGTGGAAAGCATGGTGACATGGGAAGACATAGAAGCCTCTTGTGAGAAGAGGATATGAGCAGATGGAACATTTTTCTTGAGCAGGAACTATACTGTATCTGAAATAAAAAGCCAAAGAGAAAAGAATACTTTAAGATACAACTCTCCAATACTCTTGATAACTTAGCTGGTGGAAAAATTTCTATAAACGGCCAATAATATGTGAACCCCCCTTGGGGTACTCCATATAATGGCTTATACAGGGAGGTTCCGCCCGAAGGATGTAGCTTTTTCAGGCTTCGGGTATATGAAAGGAAAGGGATATCACTAGATAAAGTATATAAAAGGACAGGGAAATATGTCATTGCGGTCTGTGAGAGGACTTAAAAGGGCTAGCTGACTCATGGTTGTGAGAAAGACATGAAAACTTCCTCCTTCAGTTATTTATTCATATTTAAAAGACGGTGCATTACAGCAGCTAAAATGGATGCTAGGAGGTAACATTTGTCAACAGAAGGTATACGAAAGGGGTACCTTTTCTGTAAGAAAAAAGGTATATAACAGGGTAAGGGGTTTTACCCCCGTATAAAAATTTGTTGAGTACCCCCTCGGGATGTTGACACTCAGCTGAAACGAATTAAAGCTAAAATATGCAAGTATATTTCACACGTTTACACCTACCTTATTATCAAGAAATAATCATTTCACTAACTGAAGTTTTTACAACAACAAAAAAAATCAGTCGTTTTTAATTTAACTCGCTTGTTTCTCATTTCGTGGATACCAGCTCTTATTGTTCTAGCACTTTCTGTTGCTTCCTAGAAAGAGAAATTGAAAGTTTCTTTTCACAAATTATCCACATTGTTATAAATAGGGACATTTTATTATAAGCACTACAAAAATGTCGCTCGTCACCAACACATTCCCTTTATTTTCTCTTCTTTTTTTCATTATTCAGCAATTGTTACTTGTATAGCAAGAAACAGTCTGCCTGACGTCAACCAAAATTGATTGTGCATAACTAAATAACGTATTTAAACGTTGAAATTATCTGATTTGGATGACTGCAACTTTAACGAGTTGAAAAGAGGAGGTGCTCTTCAGAAAAGGTGGACTAAAAGTGAGCCAAAGGTTGCCAAAACATACAATAATTTACCTGCATTTCGCTTTTAAGACAGTGTCTCTGTAAGAGCGGTCCGGTCGATTTTCCTTGAGACACAGATTTAGCTCATTTCTTGTGTGTTGTAAGACATTCATGTACCTGTACTAAAACCACAATCCGTTTGATCAGATCTCTTTATTTTTCAGAGTTTTACAGAAATTAAATTTCACTCGACCGAAGGCCTGTCGTGACAATTTTCAAGACGTTAATTTGAGGCAACTTTGCCGGTCAATTTACAACAAACTACGGGACTCAGCAAAAAACAAATACCACAGCCATGTATATTAACTCTATCTTATCCATCGAGGTGACTTTCATGAACATCACGTTTCAATCAAGCAAACAGGAAGACTTGAACGACACCTTATCGGTTCGCTTAAGTCACACACGCGAAAACCGATCAAATTCAAGTTACATTTTTGAAAAAGTGAGGCGTTCTTAACTGATCCAACTAATATAGCTAGGAAGTAGGTGCCATAGAAAAGGTAACTACGGAAAAAAACTTTGCGGCCCGACCTTTACTAAAACTTTATAACTCCGTGAACTTACCTAATTTTCGGCAATCTCCAAGTTTTGCCGCCATTTTGAGGGACTTGTAAACATGAAGTGTAGCAGATATAAATCAAGCAGGTAGATCTAAAACAGTCAGAAATACATACGAAAGTATTTAAATGAACTTCACTTTCAATTCAAGGGGCAAAATTTGAAATTGTTCGTTAAACCTACCATTCCTACATCCCCATGCGACCATTTCTTCCAACAATTCAAACACTACAACTAGTGACCACTAGTGTTCGAATTTCCCTTGTCGATTCCACCGTAGGAAATAACCTGTGCCACCCAAGCTTCGACTCGAATGTGAAGTACGAATCAAACAACATAACTGCGTCATCTTCGAGGCCATATCACGCTGGTATTTTGATTTTCTGATCGACAAGAACGGTGATCCGGAGGTGATCGCCATGTTTACCTCATAAAGGTAACCGCTGACCAGCCGCTGAATGAAAACAGTACGCCGCGGGGTGGTGTGGGTGGCGAACTTATCGTGATAAGATATACACGCTAAAAAAGCTTTAGGACTCTCAGTCTAAACAGTGAAGGCATGCTTCGTGGTACAGACAACTTTTATTTTATTCTCATAACTTTTTCCTTTAAATTAGAACTGGTATTAATTAATAGAGTTATTTAAATATTTTTAACCGAGGTACCCATATGACCTTTTTGCTTGTCCTCAGTGGTATAAAATAAGGTGTCTTTTCTTCCAGAACTTTTTATTTATGCGTTATTGCACGGAATGAACACTATACTTAAAAGGTTTGTTCTAAGTCATTTTTGCTGTTCCAAAGAATGTATGCAAAATCATTGCTTTATACAAAGCTGACCCTAAAATATGATTTTCCGTAACAGTAACTAATGTCATTTACGTAAGGTGTTAATAAAACTAGTAATGTACAATTTTTAGCGTTTTCCACTTATAAGCCTGACATACAATTGTCAAGTGAACTATGTTAGTTTCAGCTCATTTCTTGATTCGATGTGACCTTTTATCACTAAACCCCATTCTTTTCATTTGCAATTTTCCTGTACTTTTTTTTTTTTCATGCGACAACGACAAAGAGTTTTATAAGTAAACTGATTTTTTTTTGTACCACGCTCATCACATTGTATATACAAATACATGCAAAAGGCTGGCTAAATAAGCTCCTCCTCCTGCTCCTAATTTTTGGGGCTGCCTTCGCCCCATGCCTCTGCACGACTCCCATTTAAATGGGAGCTCGAAGAAAGTACAGATTTCCTTAAGCATGGAAACAGTAAAATAGTTCAATTTTCCCTCCTTGACGTAGTCACACAAGTCACAATGTCATAGATAATCGGATGCGTTAAGCCAATTTCTGTTACAAGTGATTCGACGGTGGTCATGTGATTCACTTCTTCCTCGTCAATTAATTCCTCGTCAGATTTATCGTCAACCGCGGTGCTCGGAGACGAACCTACCCGTCTCCATCTCGAGGAGGACAAACGGAAGAAAAATCCTTGTATTTGGGCTTTGGTCAGCCACTCTTCCCGGGAAAACAGGCCCTCCCTGTTTTCCCCCTTCGCTTTCCTCATATGTTGCGAGACTTGTCGCAGATCCTCTTTCCTTCCAGATTGCTCACCAATTTCAAACTTGGAGGTGAGATACTGCCTTACTTTCTCTTAGAAGCGAACAGCGCCACCTTTAGGCTTATGAAGTGCCCATCCTTCACTTAAATTCGACTGGAAAGGTTCGCTACCCTGTCTCTTGATAACATTGGTACTGTCGTCTTCTGAAAGGGTAAGGGATGAGGATTTTTCAACCCAGCTTAAATCTAGAGATTTCAAAGCTGTTCTAATGTCAAAAATAAAGGAAATGACCCATGAATGCCAGTGCTCAGTGGAAGGATAATTACACCATCAAGCAGTGACCCAATGGCCCTTGTAGCGGTCTAAAATGGAGAGATTGTAAGTTGGCTATGAAAATTACACTTTTTTCTCTTTTGCTTTGACTTTGTGAGGTGGTTTTGTCACAATTTGAACGGACACGCGTCACTCTTACGTAATGTTTTAACGGGAAACCAAACAGCATCATTTTATTTCCAAGTAGGTATATATTCAGCCGTTCTTAGCCACCATTTTGCGAGAACAAAGTATATGTATATATTAAGAGTGGTACAAAAAAAAGCAGTTTACTTGTAAAAACCTTTGTGTTTTTTATATTTTTTCATACTTATAAAAAATTGTAGAGGGAAAATGAAAATGAAGAAAAAGAAAATGTGTCCTGCATAGCAGTCTTTCAAATTTCCTTTTAGCCGACAGGGAGTCGTCAGAGGCATGGGGCGAAGGCAACCCAAAAAATTAGGAGCAGGGGGAGGAGCTTATTTAGCCGGCCTTTTGCATGTATTTGAATATAAAATGTAATAAGCGTGGTACACCAAAAAATCGGTTTACTTATAAAACTCTTTGTCGTTGTCATATGAAAAAAAAAGTACGGGAAAATTGCAAATGAAAAGAATGGGGTTTAGTGATAAAAGGTCACATCAAATCAAGGAATGAGTTGAAACTAACATAGTTCACTTGACAATTGTATGTCAGTCTTATAAGTGGAAAACGCTAAAAATTGTACATTGCTAGTTTTATTAACACCTTACCT